CTAATCCATTTTTAGGTTCCACGTGCAGTTGCACGACCTTCTGGCAAGCAACCTCGTACGGTCCTCCATGCGAAGGCTGAGCGTATATCAGGAAAGAGACTTCCTCAAGTGGGAGGCGGTAAGCGTCGATGTCCAGCACGGTTACCTCAGTTAACAAACCACGCAGTCAAAAGATCCCGTCGATATAGGCCAGGTACCGTTGCGCTCCGGGAGATCCGACGCTATCAGGTACTCTTATTTTCCTAACTTCTCGTGAATATAGTTTTGACATATTGCGCAGCGCTCAACAGATCTGCTTATACGCAAACTGCCTTTTCAGCGGCTTGTTCGCGAAATCGCGCAAGATTTCAAATCGGACCTTCGATTCCAATCATCTGCGATTGGTGCCCTTCAAGAAGCTACCGAAGCGTACCTTATCTCACTCTTTGAAGATACGAATTTGTGTGCCATCCATGCCAAGAGAGTCACCATACAGCCTAAGGATATCGCATTGGCACGTCGCCTACGTCAGGATCACTTAGATCGGAAGTGATACCATAGATTGAAGGATGTGGAATTACTTGACGATAACTTGGAATTGCGTAACTAGCTCCTTCTAAAAGAATATTGTGTCTTTTGGATATGGATGAATATGGATGATGACCACCTTGGAAGATGCTTCATCCCTATAAATCTACTCGCCGGACTCAAAGTGATGCTCGAGGATAACGGAACCTCTACGCGTAAAGAATATTTTATGTCCTTGTTTGAGCAGACAAGAAGTTGTCCTTTGGCCAGGGCGTGCCGCGCACGGGGTCGAGGTAATTGTGGCCCGTGCACGCCTGCTCTACCGATGTTTGGCCGCACACCGCAGAAGAGAGGGCGATTGCCGTATTCGTTGGCTCTCCCACGCCCCTAAGGTCCTTCCGGTTGTGGCCTGTGCATGCCAAGACAACCCTTTTTCTACCAGCAACCACGCGTTACAGATATCAACACCAGAGATCACGTCGGATCGTAACAGCACTCTGCTCTAAACACCGCAAAAATTTCGAGCCGTCATTCTTTAAGATGTCGGCCGTCAACGCAAGAATACAAGGTATAGAAGACACATTCAAGAAGCTCCTAGATGTCGTGGATAAGCATGGGTCACCCGGCAGGCGCCGGTCCCCCAAATCGCGCAAGCCAAGCCAACCGCCTTGGAAGACGATCCGGTCCATCATTGATAAGTTGGCGCAAGATATTCAGAGTGTTAAAGAAATGGTTGAAGGCTCCGGTAACAACACGGGGCACGACCGGAGCACGGAAGCTGATGACGGAAACGCCACTCCGAAAAATCCATTACAGACCTTAGATCAACCACCACATAAGAGACAGCAAATTGGCCGAAACTCTTCAGAGACCGCGGAATGCACACAAAAGGATGGACCTATTTCTGTAGATTCCAGCGCGAGGCCAGACCATCCGGCGACACCAACGCCGCTGCTCCGTGGGTTGAACGTGGACGAGAATCGCGCTCCATCAACTTCTATTCCTGATCCACCTTGCACCGCCCCAACCACTGTACCGACCACAGTTCCTACTAGCATGGAAAGCCCACAAGTCAAAGAAAATACTGCAGTGGGCGTGACTAGACCACACCGTTCGAGCCACGCTATCATGTCGACAATGTCTCAGTCCGACACTTCGGCACAGAGCGTCTCTGGAATTCCTCGAAATCCCAACATCACCATCTCTTATCGGGTGGAGCAGGGCGTCGTCGTTCTAGTGCCCATGAACATGGAGCAGTGTCGCGATATGCCGTTTCTTTTCTCTCAGGCCGAGGCACTTGG